CAAATAAGATGATCCATCATGTCAGCCATTATGTGTGCACCATCCGTGAGTTTTGTCGTTTATTTTATCCAGTAGCCCTTATTCTGGCAGTGATTTTATCAGCAGGTTTTAAATTTGTTATTTTTGTGCCCGAATTTAGCTTTAAGACTTTGCAGCATAACAAAATGTTTTTGGAAGAACTCCAAAACTCGATTCCTTCCGTGCGATGGTGTGAAGCACATGATGCAGCACAGCATCTGCGATGGGCCAGTTTCATTCGACACGATAATGAAGAAGGTAACGGTGGTTTTTTTGGGGGGGGGCTCTGTTTTTATTCTGATTTCCTTCCTTAAGAGCGTATAGAATAAGTTTTCTCGTGATTAGCCGATTCTTTCTGGCGCGTCAATGAATACATAAATTAATAAATTAATTCAAAACTCTGGCAAATGAAGCATTTCAGCGAATGAATAAGTCTAGTGTCTTTGAAGGTGGTTTGACTTCTCACATTGTAAATGCTTAATCATGGCGCCGTTAACTAGTCTTAGTTCAATCTCGGTGAGTTTGAATTTCTTTATGCTCTTATATGTTCTAGGGATTTTGTCTTATGTTTTAGGAAAATTTCTTAGAATCCGGTTCGGTAAACATAGCACAAATTAAACAAGAAGGAAATCTAGGGAGACTGACCTGTGACGACTAGTTGCTCTGTAGAAGTTGATACGAGCGACCTCGTTCAATACCATCAGAGATAGCACAGAATCATTGCATGATGGCCTTCGAGATCATAAATCATTTCATTACTTTTTAGGCACTAATTTACCACCGTTCCCAATTTTGCCCTCGGTGCGTAGATGGCTTGGCATCATGAAGGATCAAAGAGGATTCCACAGGTAGAATGCTTCGAAAAAAGGCGAAACATTGCCTAGTGGAAAGGCGGTGGGGGGAGGGAGGGGTGGGTTCCCTAAAACTGCGAGACGATGAGCGTTTTGTAGCGAAATATGCCCTCACCAGCCCAGCAAGCGAGGCGCTTGCAGCAATACAAGCCCTGCATCGGTCGTCCCTTGCCATAAAACTCTACGGGAAAGAAACTTATCCAATTCAACACTTGGTTGCTACTTGGGCTGTATTGAATAGTATAAACGCCCCTCATAGGTTTAAGAATATTGGCATAAAAGCGAGCCACCAACAACTTCCCAGTGGGTGCTTGTGTTCCAAGTCTGCTGTGAAGTGAGTGAAAGAGAGGGATGAACATAAGTGCGAAGATAGCCTATAAAATACCACTAAGATTACCGGTAAATTACTAAGCAAGAAAGATAGTTCAACTAGTAAGCTGCTTTGACTTTATTCTTTTGTACCCCTTCTTTAGTGGGTTCTCCTCAGAAGTATTCGTTTGGTACGAGGGAGCTGTCGGGATGAGAGGCAGAGAAAGCGAGAGCATACTGTAACTCACTCTTCTGACGCTCCCACTCAAAGCTTCGGTACTGCTACCCAGAGAGGGCTCTCAGGACTTGACTTCGGCCTGCGCCTCCGTCATCCCTCGTCTCCTTCGAACTGTCCTCTCTGGGCCATAACGCCTCCGCTGAAGATTCACGACTGGAAAAGTCAGCACTATTGATAATGGGACTCTTATTGCCGTCAAACCTGGCAGAAGTAGCAGCGCGAGCGAGACGGTTAATCTTCTCATGTTATCCTTCTTATTTGGGCAAAGAGATATTCAGAAATGCGATTCCAGTACTGTAATCTCACCGACTTATTCAGGTTTTTCTCCAATTTATATTGAAGCTGGTTAGGCTAAGGTTATTTGGCATCCTGAAAACCGATGACAGCACGCATTCTGGTATGAACCTCGCTGGTGTTCAACTGTGGCAATTTTTAGGGTGGGTCTATACTTATGGTAAACACTGTATGCTCATCAGGAGAATCGAAGTCTGTGTATAACGATCATGAAAATTGATTGAATATTGTCATACAGTCAATATAACTTCTTTCTGAACGATCAAAGTCGTGTTCTTTAAAGCAACAGTTCAGGAACGGTTTCGCGGGAAAAAACCACCAATAATGAAGTTGTAGATGAAAACCAGACGATTAATGTATGAAAAACTGGAAAAAAACGTCGGGGAGGGTCTTAGACAGGTACTCTCCCTCTGCCGCTCAGCAATGGATAAAGACGCACGTTGGACGAGTTGTCTGAACGTGCCCGCTGTAAACGCGCTCCATTTTTCAATCAATTTTCCCTGTGGTCCCAAAACGAGCACGATTGCCGACGCGTCCAATGACGGCCGGCAAGGGGGCGGGATTGGGGAAATCCCCAAGAACACCCATGTTTGAGGGACTTTCCACCCTGTTTTTGAGTTTCTGAGGTAAGTTCGTTTATTATTTCCACTGCATATGTTCTTCACTAGGGCTCGTGTATCCCTCAGTAGTAGTGGCATTGAAATTTTCGGACCCTCCCTGAACTGTTGCTTTCGTTGAACCGAAGGCCGCCTCTTGATTTCAACATTCAGTGATGTGATCTCGTTCGTGTATAGTAACTGAACGAGCGCCTGGCGGTCATCCATCGGTTTCAAATAAAAAACACACAAAATAACTAATCAACAACACGTTGGGACTGTGATCATGAAAAATTGCTTCTAATGTTCAAGTGCACTAAAATGAATGTCCTCTGAAGCTGTTACACAGCGGCCAGAGCTTGAAATCGCCTTGAAAAATTACGGTATTGTACAGAAAGTTTTGCCATTGCCAAGTTAGTATTTGCAAAAAATCAAAGTAGACGATTTGAGCTCTAGCACTGGTAAAAACTGTGGTAGTGTTTGTTAGATTTGGTTTCTTGGGGCCATTTTTTGTTGTATTTTTTCGCCTTTTTTTCTATTTCAAAAACAGGTTGTGTCATCGTCAATGAGGGCGCATATAGACACCTTGTTGCGGATAGCCGATATAGTAAACGTGATTCCATCCTTCCAGGAGAGTTTGGAAGAAGTTGAGGAATGCTTGGTTGACTTAGACACGGTTCGATTCATTATTTGACCCTATCGACGGTGCACCTGGTTGCGATGCCATGTGCCTCTACACCACCTTTGCCCATGGTACGAAATCCATTTTTATTTTCTTTTGAATTATTTTTCTATTATATACGAAGTTATTCCCATATTCGTCAAAAACATTTACCCTAAAATCCCATAGATAAGAGCGGTTTAATTTACCGGTGAAAAATGAATTGGAATGAAATTGAAATTGAATGCAGTCACCCCTCTAACTTGATGGATGGATAAATAAAAATCGGAGAAGAAGTTTAGAAGAAGCTCCGTCCCTCAACTCTAAACCCCGCCCACTTAATAAACAATTCATATAGAAAAATAGCGATTTTAACGGAATTTCTGCCGGAATCTCTCTAGAAATGCCGGAATTTGATCTCTGGATAGAACTTGAAGAGCCCATTCGATCAGTAAAATTCCATAGATAAGAGCGGTTTAATTTACCGGTAAAAAATGATTTTGAAAAAATATTTTTATTTTTATTTTATTTTTGAAAAAATATCTATGGACCGCTCTTATCTATGGGATTTTAGGGTATTTTGGAACAGGATGTACGCACGGTGCATTCTAATAGTTTTGCTACGCAGCTCCTTTTCCAATAAAGGTGCTATACAAGTAGGGTGGGCACGCCGCACTTTTTTGAACAAGAAATGTTTGTATGTTAGGTTTGCTGCTCCTTACTATGCTGTCACGATATGATTCGTGAGTCAGGGGGAGTGTAGCCGATTAGAGGCAGAGACGAAGCAAATCAGTAGTCACTTAAGATGCGTAAAAAGCTGGGTAACCGTATTATTTCTAAGAAATAGTGCATAACTAATAGTATTTGTCACATTTATGTTATCATCATAGAAAACAACGTTATAAACAAGTAGCGCATCATTGGAAGTATATCCATATCGACTTAAAGGCACATTTCACAATTACGTCATTGGGCCTCATCTCTCTCGGTATAAGCTTGCTCTGCCTGCGATCGCAGAAACAGGGCCACTTTCACGACTCAAAACGCGTGGAAGGGATGCTGGAGCTTGAGACTTGCAATGATGGACACCTCAAGCAACCATGCACATTCACCATCTTGCAGGGGCAACGATGGCAAGCGAGCCGAGAGATCCCGCGGTGGTCTGCGCTGTCTAGCTCAAATGCTCTTTTGTCCCCTTCTATTGTCCCCTCCTCACAGTCTAGTGTCTCATAAAAGAATCCTTCCGGAAAATTCTTGCATTCTTCTCCAACTTGCCTCGCCGCCAGCATTTGTGACAGATGTCCGGCGATAATTCAAACGCGTAGCAGCCCTTCGGTTTTTCAAATTCTATACCAAAACAAATGCAATTTTTTGTCTTTTTGATTTTTATCGTAAATGATAGAGTTCAAAGACAATAAATTCATGGCGGTGAGATATCATCACGATTTTCCCGAGAAAGATCCCTTTAAACTGCTTGCCTACCGGTCTCGCTTATCGTTCAGAAAATAGGACCTACTTTATTGCGCTCCAGGACTTGTTTTCCTTTTTTTTCTTCACTGAAAGTCAACTATCGCCCACTAATTCCTATTTATCCCACAACTTACACTGTTTTTAGGTGGCGCGATGTGCCTAAAAGTGCTTCTAGACCCACGCTCCAGCTGAATCTTGATTTTCTGGACCCTAAATTATCCCACTTAGGCTGAGATTGAAGGGGGTGGGAGATTCACAAAAATGGGGAAAGGGGAAAATCTTCGAAGAGCAAACTTCTAAAGGGGTGGTCTTGAAGCTGCCGCATCAAAGTCGACGCCACTTCCTTGTCGTTGATATCTGGCGGTGATGTTACTGTTAACGCGAAACTGTCACGGCCGGCCGAATACTGAAATGGCAGCGGTTGTTAGGCGGAGATTACTGGCTACGTCCAATGGCCTTGCCAATTTGTTAAGCAGTTAACGATGTTAAACGGTTTTAATCTCCACTGATATCACCTTGGTCGGCAGTTCTAGTCGTGCCAACCGTCAGCTATTATGCTCACAATGAGCAAACTCTTCTTGTTGCTCTTCATTTTACCTCAGATTACCTTTGCTGGTTATGAAGATGGAACTGCTGATGTAGCACCACAAGTAAGACCTCCACCGAGTCAGGCTTCCCCTCCTCGGAACTCCACACCGTTGGCTGGAAGACCATCACCGTCAGGTCAGCCACCAGCTGGGAGGCCATCACCGCCAGGTCAGCCACCAGCGGTTAGGCCACCGCCGCCAGTGAGCAGACCTGCTCCACAAGTCCGGCCACCGGTCCAGCCAGCAGTGCCAGTTCAGCCACAAGTCCGGCCACAGGTTCAGCCACCAGTGGTCAGACCACCACCACCCGTTCGTCCACCAGTCCGACCACCCGTGCAGCCATCAGTGGGCAGGCCGGCACCGCCAGTGCGGCCGCCAGTCCGTCCACCGGTCCGGCCACCAGTGGTCATTCCAGCGCCACCACCACCGTCACCAACAGAGCCCCCACCTACCGAGCCCCCACTGCAGACAGGTACAATGCCTGACGGAATCGGCCAGGCTCCTCCTTCTAACCCTGCTTTCGAGGCCTGCATTGAGACAAATCCAAGGGTGTTCTGCGAGCAGATTATATGGTGGGATGGAAATTCCAGGGTGAGTTTTAGGGTTATTCTCTCGGGTCTCGCGATTGCGGACAATGGTTGTCAATTTCAGGATCAAGACGCTGTACTTCTCTCGCCCGTTGGTTTTGTTGCTTCGAGTCCTTTTGCCTCGACTCTTCAAGCAGCCGACGTCTTCACGCAACCGACCGATCGCAGCCAGTGCTTGAATATTCAATGTATATGTCAATTTGCTAGAGGTACGTTTTTTTGAACTGATTGTTATAAGATGAGTCGTTGAGTTTTGTACTCGAGGGGTTGATAACAGTGACTCGGGAAAACTGTGAAGGTTAATTGTTTCTCGTAAATATTGAGCAGGAAAAGGGCCATTTAAGCAGTACTTGAGCCACACTACCTAGAAACGGATTTTACAAACAAATTCCCCGAAAGGAATATTTTTCGACAGCTTCTTCCCGTTTACGGTGGTCTACTGATAAGTAGACAGACGTTTACAATTTTGGACGAATTGGAAGCTACTGCCCACAGATTACTGTACGCTGCCTCTGTCCGACCAGGGAGTAAGGACCTCTTACACGTTTCTGCGCCTGTTATTCACAGCGCAACGGTCCACAACGTAAGAGCCTGCGTCTCGTCTGTCGCTTGATTCTCTCTCCTGCCCTCTTTCCTCAACTCCCGTGTCTATACGTTGTGCACTGCACACCTAAATATTGGAGGAAGGCCCTTCACTGTTATAACTGCTTCGGTGGTTTCTTTTGCTTTTTTCCTCATTGGCAGTCCGCTCTTGCACTTATTCTTGTGAACTCGAGCCAGGAAAGCGCATCTTTACGACCGCAAGATGTGCCTTCAGATTACTGGAGGGCCACACAAGAACTTTGACGGAACATCGTCGAAAGTGAGCTTATATGTAGCTTAAAGGCAGCGACTGCGATAAACTGACCGTGATGAAACACAAAGGCAGAGATGTCAAAGCGATGCGTCACTGAAAAGAACCAGTATGAAAATCGTCAAAACCCGAGGAAATGGGTTCTAACATTCTGCTTCCTGATTGTTGGAATCGAAGTTACCGGCCTCGACGCTAGTCGTGTAGGCGACGTTTAAAGATGTGAGAGACGACAGGATTACGGGACATGGCTGTTCGGATTGAAATACACTCGCGCAAAGAAAATGGAACAAATGGAACAATAACCTAGGGAAACTGAAGACACTCAGTATCACTCATAGGCGAAGCATCTGAACAGCGGGCTGAAATCTAGGTGTTCGAACCCAACTGCCTCGAAACCAGCGCAAACCTTCGCCCTAACAAGGGAGGTCGTTCAGGGCAAGCCGCGCTTTTCAAAACGGTTTTTTGCATGTTATAGAAACTTATGCGTGGACTATAGAACCAAGGTCCATTTTCGCTGAACGGCCCCGTGAAGGTCAGAAAGTGGTGAGGAAATGGTCCAGGGATCAATCCCCTGTGGTGGCAAAATTTTTGCACCATGGTTGGAGCTTCCAAATTTCTTCCAAATAGCACCAATGTTAAAATTATGAATCATATTCATCATGAGGACCACCAGGAACCATTACACTCAGATCTCAACTGGAATATGGCACTAAAAAGTTGTAATCGAACACGGTGCTACATATTTATTTATTTATCATAGCTGGTTGTACAGTGTTATATTATGTCAGTAGGTACATAAATAAAAACGGAGTAACCTAGCGGTGTGATAAAAGGATGAAGCATAAAGACTAAGGATTTGATCCCCGCGGACCGCCTCTCGTTGGTCGAGGCGCCACTTCTGTCATACACCACTTCGCCAGAGGGATACAGGGCAATAAATAGGAAAAAATTGGATAAAGGAAAAAATTCAGTCAATAGCAATTAGCTGGTATATTATGTATAAGTATTAGGTTTCAATAGTACATTTACGTACGTACATCAAGTTACATTTGGAAGGGGGGGAGGGGTCAGTGGCCTAAAAAGGAGGCGAAGTGCAATGGCCTGCCAACTTTGCACGCCGCTGGTGCGGGACTGCTCCGGATACCAACTTAGTGGGTCCGCCAACTTTTCCTGGGGCCATGTAACAGGGGGTAAAGGTCATTTTTCAGTAAAAAGGAAATTTAAGGCGAACATAACTTAAGATTTAAGGACGTGATTTTAGGTAGGTTCTCCAATAATCAATGCATATACTTGCCGAATGGTCAAGTGTACGGTAGAGCATATCGTAAGGAATTCCGAATGATGACTGACGACGAACGCCTCAGGTTTGCCGCAGTTACACATACTCTCCCCTTCAAAAAGCGAGAAAGTGTCGGGTGCAGACCATGCACCACAAGTGACGACGGCCTTCACAAAATGTTAATGTTTTCTGCCAATGAAATGATTAGCCTGTTGCAGTTGTATTCTATCGATTGTCACTAATTACAACTATCATTTACCAGAAATCAGCTATCACTATGAACAACTTCTAACCAGATTTACTTGGAGGCCGTCGTCAGTTGTGGTGTTTGGTCTGCACCCGACACTTTCTCGCTTTTTTGAGGAGGAGGTTATATGTATTTGCGATTTGTCATGAAATTTCTAAATGCTGTATTCCAGATTCCGCAACGCTATGTGGGGTATTCGTAGCACGCAGTATTTGGCCCTGTCGAGACTGCATTCCAGCTACGTGACATCACCAGCTGCTCATTCTGGACCAGCGTTCCTTCCATGGCATCGAGAGTTCATTAAAAGGTTTGCTCTGAGTCTCTTGCAGTTTTGCTTTTACAGAATCTTCCACATAGAAATACATATTTTGCCCTGTCCAAAAAATAAGGGTCATATTAATGGCCAGTAGGAAGTACTTCGTAAAATGGGAATCCGTGAGAGTAATTGACATTGGAGAATTCCCTCATCATATTAGTTGACTTCGCCCGCAGCCGGGTCCAACGTACGCATTGGAAACATTTTCAAAAAAAATTTTACGCCCCCCCCCCTCTTCATAGCTAGAGGGCCTCGATACGACCCCCCCCCACCCAGCACCATTTGTTTGTGTCATTATGTGTGTATGATTACGTGACTACTTGAACTCTCCCCTGTATTCTCTGCCGCGAAAGGCCATAGCGCAGACGATTAGGGAACGGCGCCTGGCTCGGCTCCAAATCCCAAACAGGGAGGTGAGAACTCTAGGACTAAGCCTTGGAGGAAGGATGGACTCCGGATTGGATAAGCCAATTTAACTTCTTGGCGAAGTTTGATTGTATCAGATCACAGTAATCATAAGCCGCTGTTAAAGCGAGAGAGTGCAGGCGAGAGCATCAAATCGCGGCTGTGTGAAGGACCGAGTTCAAGTTGTTCGCGAACCGAACTTTCCTGCCGGGGAACCGAATTCAGCGCGGGGGCGTTGCGCTTGCATTGGCGCGCGCAATATTGCCCTCGACCAGGGCCGCGCTATCGTTAGACTTTTTTTCAAAATTTTTTACGACCCCCCTCCACCAAAGTGGATTTGATACGACCCTCTTTTCATACCTCCCCAGCAGGGTCAACCCTACGTTGTTACGAGTAACAACGGGGGGGGTCGTACTCAGTTGAGCTTGGAGGGGGGGGTCGTACCCTCTCGGTGGCCGACAGTGGGATTCTTGGTAATATCGGATAATAGCCAGCACGTTACGTTTTCGTAAGATGACTGATACAGCATCTATAAACCACGATTCCCTCTAAATGAGCTTTCAAATGAATCAGCGAATTAGAAGGGCGCCCGAGGCGTGGCGCGCACCAAGGCAAGGGATGTAGTGCAAGCGCATGCTCGAAGCTTTCTAGCACATCCTAAATTAAACATAAAATTGGTCTTCCAAGAAAGTTACGGGCAGTGAAACCTAAGAAAACTCGCGTTTTCGAGAAAATGGCTTGAAGAATACCCCTCAAAATAAAAAGTAACAACGGGACTAATTTTTGAACTGCTGATCTTTCAGAACGCTTGGGTGCTCGTTAGAAAGCTTGAAACCTGTAGTTTATTATACCGTGTTCAGCTTCCCAAATGAATGACTTTGAAGGAAGTTATGATCGTTTGAAGGTAAAAAAGTCGCGGTTCCAAAAAAATAGTAACGCAAACCCCCAAAAAAGTAACAACGGGACTAATTTTTGAACTACTGATCTTTCAGGAACGCTTGGGTGCTCTTAGAAAGCTTGAATCCTGTAGTTTATTATACGTGTTCAGCTTCCCAAATGAGTGACTTTGAAAGAAGTTATGATCATTTGAAGGTCAAAAAGTCGCTTTGCACAGAAAAAAGTAACAACGTACTAAATTTTTATTAAATTAACTTTCGAAGAATTTTTACCATGGTTGGAGAGAGAATAATTTGAATTTTCCAAATCAAATCACTTCGGCGCAGAAGCTCGAATATGAAGGAAGTTATAGCCTTAGAAAGAGGGGTGTAAAAATTGTGTTGCAATTGAAGAACGTGAAGGATTTCAGTATTTCAATTGGAGCGATAATTTTTTCTGACTTCTCATAAAGTTTTTATCAGGTAATATTGTCAATATTCCGGTCACTGGTTCAGTTTATTTCATCTCCTAGTTTGGTAACCCTTTGGAGTACACGGATATCTTTGAATGCATCTCATTTTTTCGTGTTTGCAAGCAGCGATGAATTCTGTCGTGGATTTTGCTAAAGTTTCATCTTTGATGACTTACGTAGAAATAAATATTGATGGTAAACACTGTCTCTACACAAGTGTCACATACAAGGGGGGTCGTATCAAATCACCCATGAAGGGGGGGGGTCGTAAAAAATTTCCAAAGAGTAACAACGATAGGGTTGACCCTGGCTCCACCATCTCCATCTTCCATCAAAACCCCGCCCACTTTTTCCCTCCAAAAATGCCGTCGAGCGGGGGGTATATAGTCACTCTGAAACGGTAAATATCTCCGAAAATTTCCTTCTATTTCCACCATTTCAACCCATTTTTACCTATACTCCCACTACTTCCTTTTCTAGGGGGTATATACGCCCGCTGAAACGGCAAATTTTTATCCTGCGCCCTCCACTCGCCCAGCCTACTACCCACGAAATCTTAGTTTCACCTCAATCCCACACGTGATTTCGAGCGACTAAAGTGGGTACGACCCCCCCCCCTCCTACAAACTCAACCAGGTACGACCCCCCGTTGTTACTCGTAACAACGTAGGGTTGACCCTGGCCCGACCCAGCCGCGG